CCAAAGAAATACGGAGGTTTCGCTTTCACGAAGGTAAATAGCGAAGTATGTTATGTTTTATTCTATGATCATACAAAAGTCTGGCTAATTTTGATATAAGTATAATTTATGAAAGTTTTTGCAAGAAGCATCGATGCTTGTGAAGAACAGAACCGAAGGGAAAATATACTTATCTAGGATTCAAAGCTCTTCATCTCTAACCTGTTAACACAAAAATTTCGATTTTTCTCTTTTCTCAATTTTGATTTGTTTTCGTTTATTTGATTATGGGAAAGCACTCGAGGGTTATCTCCCTAAGGGGAAGGAGGAAATCGTTGAGGTCTTTCTGAGGGAAACTGACTAGTATACAAGTTACACATGGGGAAAAACACGAAAACGACCACGCAGCCAGCCTGCTTTCGAGATTCGAACCTCGGGCCGAAGAACAAGTGTTCAGCGGTTTAACCGCTTGGTCGCTAGTGGGCTTCTTTCTCACTTTTGGAGGTTGAAGTTACAGTACTTTATTTCTATTTATATGGTACATGCATTTACCAGATAATTATTCATTTCTCTGTTATTTTAAGTTTTAAATTTTGAGAACACTGAAACGTTTTACCCGTATAAATTAATGACGATTTCTTCTTTGTTTTACTCCGTTTCAGAGGTTACAGCCGAAAACATCGCGGCAAAAACATCGCAGACGAAAATGTCTCGGAGAAAACAACGCAAGGCGAAAACGTCGTGCTACAAAACATCGTGGGAGAAAACATCGCAAAGAGAAAACATCGCAGTTCTAAAACATCGTGGTACAAAACATCGTCGTCGAAAATAAAGCGGTTCAAAAACATCGCAGCTTAAAAACATCGTCGTTGAAAATATCGTGGTAAAAAATAAAGTATCTACAAATCATCGCATGACGATAACATCGTAGACATGCTTTTTCAGGCATGCTTTAATAAGTGTAAATGGATATTCCCATAATGATTTGTGAGCGCAAGATGGAAGAAGGATAATTTTTACTTTCATATTTTTATTAATTAATAAATTTTGCTGAGAAAATAAAAAGGAAACTTAAGCATAAAAAATTAATGCAACTTATAGCACTTAATAGAATTTTAAACCGACATAGTTAACTAACAAGGCCATTAATAAATCATTTTTATAAAGTTTTTACTGGTAATATTTCATGAAAAGTATAATCTATAAGTTACATTTAATTTCTATGCTTAAGTTCCCTTCTTACGTTTTCAGCAAAAATTTATTAGTTAATAAAATATGTGAAAGTAAAATTATCCTTTTTTACACCTTGCGCTCACAAATCATTATGGGAATATCCATTTACAATTATTAAAAACCTGAAAAAAGCAAGCATGTCTGCGATGTTATCGTCATGCGATGATTTGGTAGATACTTTATTTTTACCACGATATTTTCGACGACGATGTTTTTAAACTGCGATGTTTTTGAACCGCTTTATTTTCTAGGACGATGTTTTGTACCACGATGTTTTAGAACTGCGATGTTTTCTCTTTGCGATGTTTTCTCCCACGATGTTTTGTAGCACGACGTTTTCACCTTGCGTTGTTTTCTCCGCGACGTTTTCGTCCACGATGTTTTTGCCGCGATGTTATCGGCGGACACCGTTTCAGATTACAAAAAGTTTGACAAAAGAGCTGCAATTTCATAAACTGGGGGAAAATCTGTATTTAAATATGCAACTATGTAAATGTTCAAAAACGAAAACCTGTTTCTGTAGACCTGTTCCAGAAAAATCTATTCTCATGATATATCTTTTTAACGGAAAAATTTTCGAAATACTTTCAGAAACTAATTTTCGATTGCGAATATTTGTCTTTAAAATATGTCAGAAATCTCCACCTGATCAAATTAGTTTATAAAATCTGTCAGTTAGATATGATGATTGATTGTTTCAGTTGATAAAATAAGTCATTACATATTAAAGTGCTCCGGAGAAAACAATAGCTGAACCAAAGCTCTGATAATAAGCTACACTAAGAAGTCATTGTACTTAATCTCATCTCGACATGAAAGCAAAAATTAGCACCTCGTACCAGATATCATTAAATTCCTTTTAATCTGCAGGTAGGTCCAAAGTAATTCATCATTGCGACGTTCTTTTACCTGCGCATCTTGCGCCTCAGGTAAAACTATGCCGGCGGGATGTCTGGTGCCATTACAGACTAGCAGTGCTGTCATCATCCATCATATCTCTGCTGGAAGGAGGAGTGATGACATGTTGCTGACCAAGAATCTGAGCGACGATTCTGGTTTCCTTGTGACTCTGGAGTCGCGCGAGTGAGACTGTCATTTGTCAGGCGTGAGGAAGCGAGAAAGTTTGCCTCGGGGTGATAAAGAAGAGATTTCTGAAATATTTTTAATCCTCTTTTAAAAAAGATTTTTATTTTTCTTTCGGAATCACAAATATTAATCACGCGGCTTTTAAGATTTTATTGCGTCAGATCGCATAATTTCTACTTGTAAATAAAACTGTTGCACGTGCATTTAATTTTTTTTCGACTAGTTTGAAGATCTTTTCATTTAAGTTTGGCTAGTTTTCCGAAACATGAGGCTACATTTCTTTTCTGTTTTCCCTTGTTTGTATTTACGTTACTTATGTTAATGTACTTGCACCCTAAACTTCATTAAAAAATTAATAAATTTCTACAAAGTCATTATTATTTGAATTTTGAAAATCAGTAATCTCTGCTGGTCACGGTTCAAGTTATTTGTTTAATGAGTTTGTAGAGACATTAGGTTTTTTTTTTGGAGCAAGAGAGATGAAAAATTAGCAACGCCTTCGCCGGGAATCAAACCGCGGACCTCTGGAATACGCTCCCAGCGTGCAAATCACCACACCACGAAGGCATGCCAAGAAGGCAGGAGAAATACCTTATAAGTTTTTCGAAAAAAGATATCTATTTATACATCGCTACACGCTTAATCAGTCTCTGTGATAAAAATCTTCATCGATGCATATAATTTATATGGTTAGTATACTCTGCATTGACAGGACAGGAAACCACGAAATAAACAGTTGCACCGTCATGAAGCCTTATTAGCTTAGTTGCTTATTACATGAGGCCATCCACTATCTGTTGTTTATTATAAATTTTTCAATATTTACATAATAAGGACAATACTTCATAATTTAGTTACATAATAATATCAGTAATATATCAATAACACAGCAATTGCATATAAGTAACATAATAGTTGTTTTTGATAACATTTTGATAATATAACAATTAATTTTTATTAAGTAAATACATAATGATATTATATTACATAATTACATGATAAAGTAATATAGTATTTATGCTGCTTTCAAATTCTCGCAGTTTGTTGATTTTGGAACTTTTGTTCTAAGGATGTTACTTTTTAGTAGTTGTTTAAGCCACAGTTTGGCATTTTCTGATGTATATGGTTGAAAACGTAAATCTTTGGTTATATCACATTCAAACATATAATGATCGATAGTTTTTGTAGTTCCGCTTATGCATTTATCTGTATGATGTAAATTAAAACGATGTAGATATGATGCAAAAGGACCATGGGCTGTTAAAAGGAATGTTATGGCGCGGCTAGTTGAGATAATGTGTCTTGATGGAGTAGATATGAATTGAAAGGTTCTTCTACCCTTTCTTCTTGTGAACATTTTGCATTCCAGAGAGATAAATAATCGTTTCCTAAACTTGATTTTAAATAAGAAATTGGGTAATGTATGGTTATCGGTTGCATTATGGAACTATTCGCTGCTTCTTTGTCTATTTCATTGCCCATTGTGCCTACATGGGCACACAGTACTCTGGATTAACAGGAGTAAGTTTAAGGACGATGCTCGCGGTTAATCCAGAATCACGATTTCTCCAACAGCAACTAAAAAAAGACACTGAGAAAAGAGCATTTTATATTAATGTTCCGTGCACATGGGTTAGTAATAGATCGAATGCACACAGAAACGATGGTAAATCTATGAAATTTATTTTTCCAAAAACACTTTGCAATTCTGGAACTTTAATTTAAAAGAACTCATATTGCTAGTATTCCTCTCAATATAGATTTTAGTATTATAGATACAAAAAGTTAAATATTTTTACAAAACCAGCAGGACGCATAGCATTTGAGATAACATTTTGAAAATTCTGCATCGGTTTATAAAAACTTGCTGCTGTAAGTGTACGTCTTAGACCAATATTCAAAAACATCTGCATTCCGAATATCATATATAGGACGTGTGTACGTATGTGCACGTGTTGGTCTTGACGTTTAGAAAATTGACGTTATTACCAGATTCTAATTTATGCGTTTTTACTTTAAAAAAAGCAAGAAAGGAAAAAAAAAGGACCATATAAGTTTGTCTTCTAAAGCGTTTGTTATGATTTCATGTTCCAAAACACTACATATACACAACTATTCACTATGCCAAACCAAAATGAGAGAATACATAATAAAAATACTTTTCCACATTCTCCAAACTACTTGAAATGCTTAAAATTATTTAGTTAAGAAATAACATAAAAAAGAGCGAAACCTGCATTTTTAATGTGCCCTTAAACTTTCACTTCTGCTGTAGCGAAAAATAACTTTGTCATTTCCCAGAAAAACTGGTATACCAGCTTATATCTGCAGGTCTACATGTCATGTAGTTTACATGTCGTTTTATATACAAATATATCTTATCTTCAGAAATTCTCTTCACAGAATAAAAATTCTATCCAATAAAAATTGCTTTATTTTATCAAAAGCAAAAACTTCGTAAGATTTCTCACAAATTCGGCTGTAATATTCGCAAACAAATTTATTAATCTGAACCATTCTCCCGTGGTTTTCATTTCAAAATTAGTATGCCAATGAAAACTTTAAAGATAATTCTTTTGATAATTATTAGACTACATTTTAGCAAAACAGATTTTGCTGTTAAATTTGTAGTTGACCTCATTTGTTTTGTTACAAATGTCTCTTAAAGGTACTATAAGGTATTTCTCCCGCCTTCTTAGCTTGCCTTCGTGGTGTAGTGGTCATCACACTGAGCCGATATTTCAGAGGTCCGTGGTTCGATTCCCGGCGAAGGCGATTGCTAATTATTCATCTATTCTCCTTCCAAAATACCTAATGTCTCTACAGTCAAAAATTATGTATTAATGTATAAAAACTGTGGTAATGCCCCAAAATTTTTTACATTATGTTATGGAAATTTTGACAACTTATTGCAGGACAAAGAACACTTGTTCATACTTATTGCAGATATTACTTTATAAGAACCATAAAAAAATTAGATTTTATTTTACTGTTTATGCATCTTCAATGTCGGGATTGTCTTCAAAAAATTCCATTTTTCTTAAGAAGCTAAGGAAGGAAAAACATATGGAGAACCAATATTTAAACATTCCTAGCCATCCCTTTCGAATATCCCGTATGTCTATGTACTAATAACTATAACAATATAATGCTTTATTTGGCTTCAACTATTACAAATCAATGTATTATTTTATTTATGAAGCGATAACTTCAGTCTGCTTTGGCAATTTTAACTCATGCAACTATAATATAATCGTCAACTTTAGTACGAGAAAAAATTAGATTTCTTAGCTTTTAGTGAGCAATTAATTTGTCTTTTGCTCTGGATATGTCACTCTATCATTGTCCATTTATCTTTACAGTTTATGGACTCTTGCATAGACAGCACGGTTCAAAGCAAGAATGGTTGCAAAAGGTCGTCACTTAGGCTTTGCAATTTGAAAAAGCAAATGGCTGTCACAACATAACGTTCCGTCATTTACAAAGCAATTCTGGAATCTTCCTGCTCAAGTATCATTTATGGTGACAGCCGCTTACGGGGTTAATTGCTTAGCTTCAGGCGTTAAATAAGCTGCTACAGAACACCCATCACACTGAATTTACACTCATGGAATGACCCAGCGTGGCGACTGATATACTTGTGTCATATCACTCTAGAAATCGCGGAAATTCTTCTTCTTGCCTTTATCGCACTTCGAAATCTTAATGATGGGTTCCAGAGTAATTGATGTATCGCAGTTTCTTTGGGAATTGTGGGTTAAGGGTATGGGTGTGAGAGTATTATAAATGGCATCGGTTGCAATACTGATTTATGACATGGTTTATAGTAGTTCGTTTTCAACTTTTTAGAGGGGAATTATTTGAATTTTTTCGGCAACTTTTCTTTTATCAAAAACTTCATTTATTTATTCACTTATCGGATTAAATAATTAAGGAGAGAATGCAGGAGTAGTTACACATTATGAAATCATTTCGAAATGATCAAAACTGCAGTGCCTCGTAGCTCCTCAATATCAGAACTGCAGTGTCTAATAATCTCGTGGTTCTTAAGGAACTGTAGTTTTGATCATTCTCAAATTAATGCATATTATGTTATTATAAATTAATTTCCAGGATATTAAAAAAGAACTGCAGATTAAAATGGTAGTTCTTTTTTCATATATACTACGTAAAATAAAATTCAAATTTTAATTTGAAGTAGTCCTTAACTCTTATTTTTAATATCACTATTTCCCATTTTAATTTTAAGTGAAATGCGTATTTTACTGAATTGCGTTATTCCAAAATTAATCCCGTCATATGACGGGCATGATAATCAATAACGGCAAAAGAGAACATTAGGCCTTTTAGCCGATAATAACATCAGAATTTGCAAACCACACCCTTAATCAGTCAACAGAAATAATGTGGAAACATAACTACTTATTTAATTAGTCATTTAAATTAACGTTTTTAGTTATAGTGATAAAGGAAAAAAAAAAAAAAAAGAAAAGAAAAAAATATCTACCCTGCTGGCAGTTAAAACCCCTGTACCAGTAAGGAAAGTAAATAGAGTATTATTTCTCAAACTGCAAACGCAAAATATATACGATAGTAAGCTACTAAGTAAGCTCTTCGTTAATGAAACTTTTTGTTTCTATATATTATGAATTTCTTTTTTATCACAAGCATATAAAAAGTAAGCGAAGAAATTAAAATATAATAATAAAGAGTAAAACATAACTTCCAACATTCATTTATTGAGATAATCTAATAGACATACATAACTGCAATATTAAAAAAAAAGGCGCATTACACAGTGTTTGGAAGAATAGATACCAAATGAAAAGTAATAAAACTGCACTTTGTAATCAATAAAAAAATATTTAGTGTTTTTTAATATTACACAATTAAATATCACATAATTATAGATTACAATATTTCAATATGCTAATGTTTCCTTAATGGGACTCATACACCTTAAACCCATAAGATGTTCGAATAGGTGACTGTTGCAAGAATTGGGATAACTTATTTATTTTAAAAGCAATTACTACCAACTTTTTACAGCTGACTACATAATATAGCTGCTTTCTGAAATAGTAATCAGAAAGTTTGTGTTGCCACAAATATTTTTATAATTTGATCCCCTTTGTGACAACATTTTTCGTCATGTTTCCAACTTGCGCGCACAGTTTAAAACATTCTGTTTCATAATTTAATTCCATATTTAATATATAGCTTTTATAACATTTGGAAACTACTGTGAACCTAAAATTCTAAAATTTCATGTTAAATTTTTATTTATTTGAGTTCAGTTTATAAAATGTATTTATTAAAAAATTTTAATGTTTTCGTCCATAAAATTTTTCAATATTAAAATATTCATTAGATTGTTGGTTCAGTTAGAAAGTAGTGCCCATATAAAGAATTCCATCTAATTTCAAGTATGTACCATTAGCCATTTTTAAAATATAATGCGCGCAAGGTGGAAACATGGCAAAATATTTTGTCACAAAGAGGATTAAATTACAAAAATACTTGTGGCAACACAAACTTTCTGGTTACTATTTTCCAAAGCAGCTATATTATGTAGACAGATGTAAAAAATTGGAAGTAATTGCTTTTAAAATAAATAAAATATCCCAATTCTTGCAACAGTCACATATTCGAAGATCATAAGGGGTTTAAGGTGTATGAGTTCCCTTAACGCTATTTTTTCGATCATATGCGGAATCCGTATATCCAAATATTGCACCGCTGAAACCACTGAAGATTGGAAAATACCACCATATAATTTTAATTACGGGAAACACATAAAATACCAAAACAGAACACTATTCCACTGTATGGACGATTGTAGCACGTTGCATCTGATATTTTCTCTAAACAATATATTCAAAATTCAAAATTTTGGCGTCAACTTATAGAGCACATATTCAAAAACAAAATAAACAAAAATTCGGGATTACCGAGATGATTTCCCCTCAATACAAAATAAACTGCCATCATTACATTCCTGCAAATTGTTCTCTTTCTGTATTGAAGCGTTCCAGTATTTAATTCCAACGGTGAATTACAAAACCATGACGTATAAATTCACGAAAATAAAATAGAGTCTGAACTAAATTGCGCAGTTAGGAACTTGTTCGAATTGGCGCTAGCCAAGCGCGAACCTCGGAGTTGTTATATAAGCATTAGTAATTTACAGGAATATATTAAGTGCGAAACTTAGTTTTGTGGTGATCCACGGTTTGAAAATGGTTTCTGAATCAGAAGAGATTCGTGCACTAACCTAGTGCTTCGCATTAGAGAGTAAAGAACATCTATGATATAAAAATATACTTTTATTTACACAGCGAAAAACGCGCAGCAACATTATTAACGAAAGCTCATTCTCCTAATAACATACTTCTTTTTACACTCCGCTTGCGCATGCGCATTGACAATTACCAAAGGAGCTTGGCAGATACTGCCATCTGTTGGATAAACTATTCGCTACATATTCCTCCCACCTGAATTTACTGGGAGGTAAATTCACACATCTGTTAAGTATAATATATGCATAATAGTACAGTATACAATATTGAAGTATAAAATTATGCCTACCAAGATGTTCTAATTAAATTGAAATACAAATTTACCTGGAGATGCAGCATTCCATAATTTTCTAGACATATTAACAGATAATACTAAACCTAGAAAAATAAAAATAAATCAAATTATTAAAAAGTATTCAAACAAGTACAAAACATTTCACAGACGTATCACTGGTTTCACAGTTCTACCACTGCTGGTAGTCATAGGAATATTTTCAGTCATATCCTTTTGGACTGGGTTATCCAGCTCAAGTCTGTACAGTCTTTGCACTGGTCTCAGAAACTCAGAAGTCTCTGTTTTTATGACAGCAAGTCTTATTTGTCCATCACGACCAGGTAGCAGCTTTATGACACGCGCCAGGTTCCAAAAAGCACGTTTTTTTTGTTGTTATCTTCAAGTAGAACAATTTCACCCACCTGGAGAGGTTTAGCTATAGAGTTTTTAATGGACTGCTGACGTAACTGTCCTAGATATTCCACACGGAATCTTGCTCTAAGTTGTTCTCTCACCTTTTGTAGATACTTAGCTCGTTTACTCAGTTTTTCCTTATCCACTGTATCGATATCAGGTACTCCTGATTTGGAAATCTCCCGCAAGGAACATTTCTGGAGTTAATGGGGATGAATCTTCAACGTCTTCCGACACGTAGGTAAGTGGCCTAGTATTGATTACTCTCTCACAGTCGCATAGTACTGTAAGCAACTCCTCGTAATCCAGGGCAGCACGACCTAGAACTTTTCTCAGAATCTGTTTCACCATTTGAACTAAACGTTCCCACCAACCGCCCCACCAAGGTGCGGAAGGAGGAATAAATTTCCACTGAATTCTTTGCTCAGCGGCCTTTGATCGCAGACTCTCCCAATCAATTGTATGCAGAAGGCTCTCCGCTCCTTTAAAATTACTGCCATTGTCTGAGTATATTATAGATGGTCTTCCGCGACGAGAAATGAAACGTCTCAATGACTGGAAAAAAGCTTCAGTTGTCAAGGATGTTACTGACTCCAGATGAATGGCCCTATAGACCGCACATGTGTAAAGAACAATATAAGCTTTTCGACCATCTTTAAGGTAGAGGGGTCCTGCCAGATCGACACCCACTATCTCAAAAACATTTGCATCACGTACTACTCTATCTTTCGGCAAAATTCCTGGAGTTACATCACAACTTTTGGATTTAAATCTTTGACATTTAACAC